CCTCCCGGAGAGGAGGAGTGGAGCGAGGGGAGGATGTCGGAGGCGACGAGGAGGGCGAAGACCATCGGAGCGAGGCATCAGAGCGAGGTCGACCCGGGGAGGGCATCCTGAGGTTTTTCGTGCTTGTTGGATGCTCTTGTGCACCCCGGGGAGGGTGCCCCTGGATGTTCTGCCTGTGTTGGCTGGCGGAGGGTCCCACGTTCTTGAGGGATGTTCCTCTGGCCCAGGTCCGACTGTACACGTATCCAGCGGCACCGATGGTCCGTGCCTCCGGCGAGGCTCTCGGGCGAATGCGTGTAGTGTTCGCCCCTGGGCTGTTCGCCCTTGTCGTCGCCACCGAGGAGGAGGAGGAGGAGGAGGAGGAGGAGGAGGAGGAGGAGGAGGAGGAGGAGGACGAAGAGGACGAGGAGGACGAGGTGGACGAGGTGGACGAGGGGGAGGGGGAGGGGAGGGGAGCAGGGGGGGGAGGAAAGAGATGCGAAGGAGGACAAGCACGAAAGTTGAGGAGGAGAAGGAGGAGCAGGAGGAGGAGCAGGAGGAGCCGGAGGAGCAGGAGGATGAGGAACGGCGAGGAAGGAGGAGCAGGAGGAGGAGGAGGAGGAGTTGCTGGAGCCTTGCAGGAAGGGGATTGGAGGTCTGCAGGGCGGGAGTGGGGGGCCGGAAGCCAGAGACCAGGACGGCGGGCGCTGCGAACTGTAAATTGCGTTGCGATGATCTGCGCCCTTTCTCTTGGGCTGCTGCGTAGGCCACACCGTTTCAGGGGCCGTGCTGCCATCTTGGGGCAGTGCGGAGCATACGTGGCCTCACTCACGTTATCTTCGATCCCCGCTTCGACCCTTTTGGCGTTTTGGAACGGGGCTGGCCAGCGAAAGTCGTCAGGGATGTGCCCAATGGGCAAGGATGCAAGGGTAGCCTTGAAAAATGGTTCATCCTTGCTATGCGACTTATTGTATCAAATCAAGGCTGCAATCTAACTGATCTTCGACCGCTTGCATTTCTACTTGTCTGTCGGGCTGTAGGAACGACGGGAACTTTCTGGCATGCTCCCCGCCCCAGGAGGAGGGTGAGCAGGAGGAGGAGTCGGAGGACCCCGCCTCTTCCCAGCAGTCGTCGCACCAGTAAAGATCATGCACGCTCACCCTGCCTCTTCTCCTACCCATCCTCCCAGGTTCAGGCTTTGCTCCTCCCAGCTGCTGGCGTTGGCCAGCCCAGATGCGGGGGGAATCGGGTGTGGGGGTACTGTGTAAGAATCAGGGGGAGGACAAAGACCCGTCAGTTTTGATGCCCGAGCCGTCACTGAGGGAGCGTCCTGTCGCTTCTTCCCCTGTTGTCGCACGTCGCCTCCGCCGCCCGCTGTGCCGTCGGCGACGGAGCGTTCGCCGAGCTTGCGGGCAAGGCTCGGGAAGACATGACAGTGAGACAGTTTCCGCGCCTCCTCCCCCGACCCCCGCTTTTCCCCCCTCCCGGGCTCTCTGCCCGTTCCTCCGCTCTCCCCGCCCGGACTTTTCATCGGATGCTCGGACTCCGCCTTCTCGTGCCGCCCTGTCGGGGCGGACGTCCCTGCCGGTCGTGGGTGCACTCGTACCCCATCTCGGTCATGTGTTTCATCAGGACGGTCGGCGGTGGCTGCGTCGCCGGTCGGCGGTGGCTGCGTCGGTGGCTGCCCGAGCTCTTCGGCCGAGCACCCACGCCGCTTGCTGATCTCGGCGTTGTTGCTGAGAGCGCACTGCCTGTCGTGCCGCACGTGCCGATCCCGACGTTGCTGCTGGCGGTGCTTGCGGCCGGCTCGCACTGGCTGCCGTTGCTACCACTGCCTGTGGTGTCGCACGCGTCCATGCCAGTGTGGTAGCTGATGGTGCCTGCCGCATGCGCGCACTGCCAGCGATCACTGCCACTGCCGATCTTCCGGCATTGCCAGCCACTGTTGCCACTCTCTGCATTGCCGCACGCGCTGATCCCAGCGTTCCGTTGCCACTGCCCGTCGTGTCGCACGCGCTTGTCCCAGCATGGTAGCTTATGACGCTTGCTGCATCCCCGCACGCTAGCCACTGCTACCACTGCTTGCCTGGTCGCACTGGCGGCCACTGCTGCCACTGACTGTCCCATCGCATGCGCCGATCCAAACGTTGTAGCTTATAGCGCCTGTTGTCTGGCTGCGCTGCTAGCCACCGCTGGTGCTGCCTGTTTTTGTTCCTCTTGCCCGCCACTGCTACCACTGCATACCTTGTCGCACGCGCTAACCCCAGCGTAGTAGCCGAGAGTGCCCGCGACCTCCTAATACCAGCCAGCCTCCATTGCCACTTCTTGCCTCGTCGCCCGCGCTGGTCCCAGCGATGTAGTTGAGGGCGCCCCCATTTTTCTCCCAATGCCAAGCTTCACTGTCAGTGCCTGCCTGGTCGCACGCTCTGACCCCAACGTTGTAGCTGAGGGTGCCTGCAACCTTCTCGCATGCGAGCCTCCACTGCCACTTGTTGCCTCGTCGCCCGCGCTGGTCCCAGCGATGTAGCTGATGGTGCCCCCATTTTTCTTCCAATGCCAAGCGTCACCATCTGTGCCTGCCTGGTCGCACGCTCTGATCCCACCGTTGACGATGAGGGTGCCTACAACCTTCTCGCACGGCCAGCAACCACAACCATTGTCTGCCTTATCGCTCGCGCTAATCGCATAATTGTGGCTGCGGGGGATTGCCACCTCCTCGCAATGCCAGCCTCAACTGCCACTGCCTGCCGTGTCGCACGCGCTGACGCTAGCGTTGTAGTTGAGGGTGCCTGCAACCGTCTCCCACTGCCCTGGTCTTCGCCTGGCGCGGCCCCATCCCCACTCCCAAGTGGTGCCTAGTCCAAGTGCTGTAGCATACAACGTTGGGCCCCACTGTTTTTGATTGCTCGTGGCGGCAGTTGCATTCCGGAGCTTGCCGCCACAACACGGAGTCCCCTTTGTCCCGAGTGGACAGGCTTTGTGGGAAGAGCAGGAGCAGGAGCAGGAGGAGCAGGGATTAGGAGGGTTTAGCAAGAGGAGTGAGGAAGAGGAGGACGAGTATGGGGAGGATGCAGAGAAGAAGGAGGAGCAGAGAAGAAGAAGGAAGAAGGAGGATGCAGAGAAGAAGGAAGAGGATGCAGGAGTTTCCGCGTGAACTTCGGTGGATCGGTTCCGCCCCGTAGGGCGATGGCCGCCCTGTCGCGTGCGCCTCCGCCACGCAGCAGGGCCTCCTGGCAATGGCAACTGGGGCTGGGGTATTGTCCCTCAGGACTTGGTCCTGGCACGTTGGCGGAGGGGCTCCTAATGGCCTGGCTGGCGGCTGGCAGCGTCGGCGGCGGCGCCGGCGTTGACGACGACGGCGACGACGGCGGCGACGACGACGACGAGCACGATGGCAACGACGGCGACGACGACGACGATGGGACGGCGACGACGACGACGACGACGGCGACGACGGCGGCGACGACGACGACGATGACGACGGCGACGACGACGCCAAGCACGACGACCACGACGGCGACGACGAAGACGACGAGTGCCACGATTACGACCACGATGACGATGGCGACGACGGCGACGACGACGACGATGGCGACGACGACGACGACGACGGCGATGGCGACGACGATGACGAGTACGACGACGGCGACGACGCCGACGACGAGGTCGACGACGACGACGCCAAGCACGACCACCACGACGGCGACGACGAAGGCGAAGCCGACGACGATTACGACGACGACGGCGACGACGACGGCGACGACGACGACGAGTGCGACGATTACGACCACGATGACGATGGCGACGACGGTGACGACAACGACGACGACGACGATGGCGACGATGGCGACGACGACGACGATGGCGACGACGACGACGACGAGCACGACGGAGCACGGCGACGAGGACGACGACGACGACGACGATGGCGACGATGGCGACGACGACGACGACAGCGACGGCGACCACGACGAAGACGACGACGACGACGACGGCAACGGCGACGGCGACCACGGCGAAGGCGACGACGACGACGACGATGGCGACGACGACGAACACGACGACGACGACGACGACGACGGCGACGAGCACAACGGCGACGACGGAGACGACGACGAACACGACGGTGACGACGACGACGGCGGGCACGACGACGACGATTAACATGATAACGACGACGTCGGCGACGATGAAAGTGATGACGACGGCGGCGACGACAGCAATCACGACGGCGACGACGACGACGACTACGACGGCGACGACGACGACTTCGGCGACGACGAGGACAACGATGACGACGACGACAACGACGACGGCGACGACGATGATGACGGCGATGACGGCGACGACGACCACGGCGACAACGAATTGACGACGACGACGGTGAGCACGACGAGGGCGACCACGACGACCACAAAGACGACGACGACGATGTCGACGACGACGAGGACGATGACGACAACGACGACGGCGACGGCGACGACGACGTTGACGATGATGGCCGCGACGAAGACGACGACGACGATGACGACGACGGCGACCACCACGACGTCGAGAATGACGACGACGACTTCGGCGACGACGAGGACGAATACGACGACGGCGATGACGATGACGATCTCTGCGAAGACGACGATGACCGCGACGACGCCGACGACGGCGATTGCGACGACGACGACGACAACGACGACGAGAACGATGACAACGACGACGACGACGACGACGACGACGGCGACGGCGAAGACGACGATGACGACGAAAAGCGCGGGAGGCACGCGACGCAACGCGAAACGTATTACTATGTTATGCTCGTTTATGTTCCGACACTCAGTGCCGAGGGCAGAGAACTACACGGGACATTGACGTCGTCGTCTCCGTCCTGGTCATCGTTGCCGCCGTCGGCGCTGCCGGCCGCCGCCAGCGCCGTGGGGGAGGGGGCGGGGGGGGGGGGTCGGAGGGGGGGAGTGGGCGGGCGTCGTGGGGGGGAGGCCGGCCCTCCTGGTTCTGTTCAACGGCGCCGAATGTTCGGGGGGGTGGCCCCGGGTTCAAACGCGCCACCGGATGTTCCCAAGGCAAGCGCCCGTGAAACGCGCTCCCTCATAGGTCTTGACCCCTCCTCCCCGAGGCCAGTATGTCATCCTGGGCGCAGAGGATTGACCGTCCCGAACCCGTCGCTAATCCACGCCCCCTTAATCCATGTTCGCGATCGCCTGATCCTCCTATCCCCAAACCACAGGAGCTTTGTTCTTGGGACCCCCCACACTGCAATTTCGTACCCAGAATCGACCCACGCCCCCCTCCTGGCCCCCCTCCTGGCCTCGGCATCCCCAAACCACGAAAGCTTTGTTTTTGGCACCACCCACCCCGCAATTTCGCGCCCAGAATCGACCCGCGCTCCCCTCCTGCCCCCCCCCTCCCTGGCGGCCTGGAGATGGCCCCTTCTGGGCCGAAGTTGGGCAAAAACGCCGGGATCGAACAGCCATCAACCCGCCCGAAGCGCGTGGGAGGTCGTCGTCGACGTCGTTCCAGGTGGACGAGCAAGGGCCGTTCCCGATAGGCGGCCATGCACCCATGGGGTGATACCTAAGCCTCTCCAGCACACGGCGGCTCGAGTAGCCCCCCCCTGTGGCGAGGGCGAGGGCGAGTCGAAGACGGTCGCCGTCATCGGAGGCGGCCTCGCTGGCCTGGCCTGCGCCAAGTACCTCGTCGACGCAGGCCTCGGGCCGGCGGCGGCGGCAGCGCGCCCAGGGGGAGAGACAGAAGACATCAGGCCTTCCGATCAGGATGATCGAAATGGGTACGCCTGGCCATTTTGAACAGGATTCGCTGTCGGTGTCGCCGCGGACGCGGACCATTTGATGCAGAAGGCCGCCTGCCCAACAGCGGCCGCTGTTGGTTCTGGACAAAACTTGTTGTCTGGGCATCGTACCCCATTTTATCAGAAAACTTGTTCGGGCGCCCAAATCTGAGAAGCTCTCGATCTGCCTTCACCGAAGCCCCACCGCCTTCGACAAGGCCTGTACCCCCCCAACTGCCACGCGTAAGAGTGGCCCCTGGCCGCCGGAGAGCCGAGTTACGGCCCGAGAGCCAGGGGGCAGCGTCGGGGGTGGACACAGGCTCTATTGGGGGGACTGCGTCGACCCCAAATCGCACACCCATCGCCGACTGGGGCCCAGCAGCCCGCCCCGTGCAGGCTTGAGCCGGTGTGTAGCTGAGTCCAGGTCGTTGTCCCCCCCGCTGCTCGCTCCCCCCTCACAGGAGCGAGCGAAAGTTGCCTGTGGATGCCGAGAGGCGCACCACTCCCTCACGCATGGCTGCCGACGGCGGTTCGCTTTGGTTTGGTGTACTTGTCCATGGGCCACACCACGGACCAATCGCGGTCTCGAAAGTGCTGCGACTCCTGATGCCGCCCTCTGTTTATTAATCGCTTCGCTCATTCCGCCGGCCCTCGAGCGCTCTATGGGGCCTCTTTGAAGCCTCTTGGGGGCCTCTTGAGGCCTAGGGTCCTCTTGGGGGCCTCTTGGGGGTCTCTTGGGGCTCCTTGGCGGCGTCTTGGGGCCACCTTGGGCCTCTTGGGGGCGGCTCTTGGGGGCCTCTTGAGGCGGGGTAGTCGAGTGCACCCCCCTCGGAGGCCACAATCCTCGTGAGGGGTGTCGAAAAAAGGCCCTCAAAATCATCTCTGAGTAGACCTTCCCGGGACCTTCCCGGGACCTTCCCGGGCTGCGGTCGGGATACTTTTCGCCGGGGGACCCCCAGGGGCCGCCCCGCGCGCGCGAACTAGAAGAATTGTTAACCAGTTACCGGAGATCTTAGCACGCCTCTGGCCCGTTGGGCCGGCGAATTCCGCGTCTTCCATGGCGTCCGCGCGTGGTTCATGCGAAGTTTGAAGGTTTGCAGCGTATGCCCGAGCAGCAATCAAGGCTTTGAGAACATCGTCAATTTGTACGCAATTTGGCCATCATGAGAAAGCCTGTTCCCGAGGCGACAATGGATTGTCGCAACGTCGAGTCGAGACTCGTCAGCATCCGAGGCGGCACTGGATCTGTGGATTCAGAGGTGGCATTGATATAGGAGCAAGCCGATGCCGCGGACCTGACGGAAAGCGCACCAGCACTAGCGGAGGACGACGAAACGGCCCCTTTCACGACTGGAGGCCTTTTTGAGGGGCGGTGCTAGCTGGAGGTCCATTTTGATGCCCCCCATGTCGTTTCCTGGACCCGCGTGGGTAGCGTCCACCCTCTTTGGACCACGGCGGGCGACCTCACGCCAGCGTATGCGTCGCGGGCCTGCCCATAGCCCATGATTAGTTTGCCAAGCTTACGTAGCTCGGCCTGCCTGACGCGCTGGCAGCATCCCCGACTTGGCGCGATCGGTGCTGCGCACACAGGCCCAGTAGCCTGCGACTCGAATCTAGGCACGTACGCTTGCCGCGCTTGGCATGCGCACTTGGCGCTTTGGCCTGGTACCCGGTTGTCCGCATTGCAGCATCCGCTGGTGCAGCCCCGTTATCATCCAGTGCGCTAACGGCAGGCCGTACCTTGAATTGTCCCAGGTTTGTTGTTCATTTTGGCGTTTCCGCCCCCTCTTCCCTTCAGGGGGGAGGAGAAAAGGGTGGAAACGATCGCTCCAACCCCGAATCGGTCCGGCTCGGCCTTTCCGATGATTGCCGATTCGATCTCGTTGCTGGTTCTCAGCCGATCCTTGCCGATTCGAAGTTCCTATCGATCATTTTCGACGCGCCGATTCGACGTCAGGAGCCCCATGTTTCCTCTCCCTCCTCCCTATCCTCCTCCTCCTCGCTGCATCTGGCTTTGCGAGTCGGCGGACACTGTCCCAGCCACCAGCATCAGTCGCACACTTTCGGGGAAATGTAAGACTCGAGTTAGCCAGATCTCGGTTTTGCCAACGCCTTTTGACGAGACCGTCCTTGATTTTGACGGTCCAGTTTTCGTGGGGGATGTTTGCGGCAGGAACGAATTTCAGACAGGGTCTCGACATTTTCTTGACGGTCTCGCCAGGCCAACTCGAGTCCCCCGAACCCGAGTTTCACGTCTCCCCGGGACTTCTCTGCTGAAGTTGCCAAGCTTTGTCCGCCTGCACTGCACGCGCATTCTTGAACTCCGCGTCTCCCTCCTCTTTGGGACACCGCTGTTCGTCCTGCAGCTCTGGATGGTCCTGTCCCTCTTACCGCTGCTCATCGGCATCCTCCTCATCACTCTGGTCTTTGTTGCTCCCGCTTTTGAGCCTCCTCGCAGCGTTTGCGGTGGGGCCGACGGGTAACCTTCTCCTTTTCTTTTGTTTCCTCCTTCTTCTTGCCCCACTCTCACCCTCATCATTCATCCTCCACGCCTCGTACATATCCTCTTCTTCCTTCCTTCGTTATCATTCCCCTCGTCTTTCCTCCTATGTTTTTCTCCCTCTTTCCTGTCCTCGCCGTTGATCATCCCCGCTCTTATTCCCTCCCTCACTTTCTCCCTCTAGACCCTGAAGCATGCCTAAACATTGTCCTCGGGATTCCAACGCCACGGATCGAGCTGACTGCATCTTGACGATCCTTAACCGCACCAGAACGCCATTCCTGGGACTTCAACACCGCGAATCATCGTAATTGTGACACCCTCATAATCTTGAGTCTTTCCAGCACACCATGTCTGGTACGTTGATCATGGGACTCCGTGAAACTCTTGCACATGAATGTGCGCGGCGCTAAGGCGAGAGCCACATTTTTAAACTTAACCGCTCTCAATCCGTGAAGCTCTTGCAGTAAAAAAAAACGAATGTGTGCGGCTCGAAGGCGAGAGCCAAATGTTGAAAACGACCCGCCCTTAATCCGTGAAACTCTGGCAACGTTTTGAAACGAATCATGTGCGCGGTGCCAAGGCGAGAGCCATATTTTGAAAACGACCCGCCCTGAATCCGTGAAACTCGCAAAGTTTTGAAACGAATGTGCATGGCGCTAAGGCGAGAGCCACATTTTGAAAACCACCCGCCCTCAATCCGTGAAACTGTTGCCATTTCATTAGCTTCAGAATCTTAAATGGTGAGAAAGTCTCGGGCGAAACGCCCAGCCCGCCCTAAAAATAGGTCTCGGGGTGCGACAGGGAGAATTGATTTACAAGGTCAAGGAATCGAGGAGGAAGAGGAGGAGGAGGAGGAGGAGGGTCGCACTCACCCGAGGCAGGGACCCGCCGCGTGAGGCGTCCGGAGGCCGGGAGAGAGAGTGAGAGGGGAAGGAGGAGGAGGCGGAGGAGGAGGCGGAGGAGGAAGAGGAGGAGGAGGGAGGAGGAGGAGGAGGAGGAGGGTGAGGAGTAGGATGAGGAAGACGAGGGGGACCCCCCCCCCCCGCAGGCCACAAGCCCGTGGTGCTGGAGGCGCGGGACCGGCTTGGCGGCAAGGTGTCGGCCTGGCAGGACGAGGAAGCAGCCCGGCCGCCACCGGCGTCGGCGTCGTCGACAGATGAGGAGGGGGAGTCAGGGGCAATGATAGGGGGGATAGACATGGGGGGGATGCATCGACCCCCAATCGCCCATTCATCGCCGATAGGGGCCCGATAGCGCCAACCTGCCCAGGAAGGCGTGGATTCATTATCGGAGGCCCATCGCCGATGTATCGGCGATGTATCGCCGATTCCAGGTCGTTTCATCCCCCCCTATGTCGGCCCCCCCCCCTACCGTTGCCCCTCAGGGATGCGGGAATGAGGAGGATGAGGAGGAGGATCGGGAGAGTTCCTTCTCATCATCCCCCGCGTTCTGTGTGGTAGCCATTTTGGCTCTCAGGATGTTGGTTTTCTCAGCAGGAAAGAGTAGTGGATACCTCTGAGCCGAGGCAGATTTCCAATTGTCCCCCGAGTTTGCCTTCGAAGCGGACCCGCGCACCAGCGTGCACAGGCTCATCCATATCCAAGACGGGTCGAAACATCGTTCCCGCCATTCCATGACTAGGACCTGCCAGGTGGTGGTTCGTTTTATTCGTTCCATTGACTACGCATACTCTTCGTCCTTTGGCACCTCGTCGCCATCGTTGCCAGACCTTCCATTCTACCTCGTATACGCCACGGCCACATGGCCCCGAGCAGCAGCCGCTCCTCGTGCTCCGCATCGCCAGGAGCAAGAGCACGTGCACCATGCGGAGAGCGAGGCGCCGCAGGCGGTTCCAGAGCTGACAGAGGACGCAAATACCGTGGACGTGGCAGCCCGGCTGGACCTCCTAGAGACACACAGCCAAGGAGACGTGGAGTTAGACAGTGAGATGCTGCCGCGATTGGCCCACTTCGAGCACCTACGAGTGGCAACATGGATTCTTCGGGCAGCGCCGCCCCTGTTCCAGCAGCTGCTGCTTGCGTGCCAGTACCAGGCACTATCCAACAAAAAGGTCCTTGGCATGCCGTGCGAAGTGGGCCCCGGCTGCCAAGAACCGAATCCGAGATCGAACAGTTCAGACAAAGCGAAGCAGCAGCCGCCACATGCTCTGCCTGCCATTCAAGAAGCTGGCGCAGCAGCTCCAGCCCCTTTGGGACGTAAGGGATATGCCCCTGAGGGCGAATTTCTTACGCCCAGTACATCGCCCCACCGCTAGCAAGTCTCGACACACGACTTCTCGACCCGTTTTCAGCCCAGATCACAGACGCTACCGGATTCCTTTCGCTCACCGCCGACCGCACAATCGCCCGTTCAAGATGCACAGGCAGCTTCCCGAGGATACTTCCAAGTGCCCTCGGGCAAGTACGACATTAAGGTCCGGACAGACGTGGAAGAGGCGCAAGCACCCTCGCCATGGCGAAGGCGTGCTCCTCCCCTGGGACACGGCTGTATGAGACAGGCCGCCAGACCCACTTGCACGTTTTCGGACACCGTCGGCCCATTCAGCCTGCAGAAGTTCGCCGAGCTCCGGAACCATGGATCACCTAAGCTGGAGTATCCACACGCGACGTCGATAGTGTCGGAAAAGTTCCAGCCAGACGCTTCTTTCTACGGCTTCCGTTAGCAGTGATCATTGGCCAGATTTTCCGTGCAGGAAGGCAATCGCGACAGCTCTCAACTCCCATTGCTATTGGCGCGCTCGCTCACCTGTGCATCTTTACGGACAAACCACCTAATCAGCCCCGACGTGAACGATAATCCAAACGGTTCGTATGTACGCATGTTCGCTGGCAAATGTGATGCTCACCACGTTCGCATTGTTGGAGACGCAGGTCTTGTCTCATGTCGGGCGGTTCCTCTTGTCTCGGTCGAGGTCGATGCGCCCGTCACCGACAACGCGTAGCTACGGTGGGACATGGCAGCGGCACACCTAATGAGCATCGATCGAACAAGGTCAGCGAATCTCGCAAGCCAGTCTTCAGTGCGGCGGACATAGCAACGTGGTCTATTCTAGACGATTCGCGCCCCCACCAAGCCTTTCAGAAACGATGCCACGGGGAGTAGCCCTGATCAGGGATTTGCAGGAGCATGCAGTGGAAGAAAGGACTTGGAAGGCGTCATACTCCTGGAGGGTGGGGACGGAGGAGGAATTGGAGAAGGAGGAGGCCGAGGAGGAACAGGAAGAGAAGGAGGAAGACAGGAAGAGGAGGAGGAGGAGGAGGAGGAGGAGGAGGAGGAGGAGGAGGAGGAGGAGGGGGAGGGGGAGGGTTGGTCCATAGGGGCCTGGAGGTCCCCCTCGCCGCAGGCCTTGATGGGCCTCCTGGCGCCGAAAGCGCGCCACCTGGCCCTGGACCCAATGCAAGCGGCGCCCTCGGTTGAAATCTGGGGTCTTTGGCTGAATTCTGACATTTTGCTGACTCTTTTTGGCCTCAATCATGATAGCCTTGAAGCGGTGGTCCAATAGGCGGGCATTGTTGCAGCGTGCTCGAGTGAATGGCTCTCGTCACAGTGACGAGTGCGAGTTTTCTTCACTTGAATTGTTCCGTCGAATGCCTCTGGCGCTTCGGCATGTGGGAATGAATGAATGAATGAGGAGGAGGAGGAAAAGAAAGAGAGGGGGAGGGTGAAGAAGAAGAGGAGGAGGAAGAGGAGGAGGAGGAGAGGACGGCGAGCAGAAAGGCCAGAGGCCTCTTAGATGCCTCTCGGAGACTCTTCGGATGTCTCTTGAAAGCTTCTCGGAGTACTCATCGGGCGTCTCGGAGGCCTCGCGGCGGTCCCGGGGACCTCTGGAAGCGTCTTGGGTGCCTCGGGGAAGCCTCTTGGGAGTTTCTTGGAAGCCTCTTGGGGGCCTTTTGTGCGCCTCTTGGGGCCTTATGAGTGCCTTTTGGGCCCTCCTCGGGCACTCCTGGGGGCCATCTTGGAGGACATCGATCAAAGAAGTGGGGTGCTCAATTAGCGTCGTCCCTCCAGAGCCCCTAACATCGCCTCTTAGACCCCTCCTGGAGCGCTCTTGGAGCGCTCTTGGGGCTGGCTTCTCTTGGGGCTTTCGTGGGCCTCCTTAGAGCCTCCTTGAGGCCTCGGAGGGCCGTCGAAAGCGAAAATGCGAGAAGGCAATCAACAGTTGTTTTCCAAAGGTGTTTGAAGGGTCCACGGGCCGGGTCGAGCTCAAGGATCCCCGCGCTCCCGTACCTGTTGCAGCCGTGTCCCCCCCTCCTCCTTGTCTTCTGGTGCCCTGTGTCAGGTTCGCGCTGCGTCGACGCGGCGGCGACTCCAGCACCGAACGTCTCCGGTGGCGCAAAGGCAGTCGGTATCGAACGGTCTGCGCAGTCGGAAAGCAGCGATGCAATCCAGGCGGTGTCAGAAATATGCGCTGAAGTCGTCTCGGCACGAATCGTCCGTACGTGTGTTCCGGCTCCAGGTGCGCTGATGTGCCAAATTCTGGATTTTCGCGGTGATACTTGCACAGCGATGTGGTGGGCAGCGGCAGGCAGGGAGCGTCTTGGTCATTCCAACCTTCGTGTCCATGTCTGAAGATCACGGCGGGATGTTGACCAGCAGCAGCTATCGACGAACAGCAAGTTGCATGAGCATCGACTTCAGAGGTCCGCGTGGATTTCTTGGGTTGGCGCTTGGGCGACCCCTCGTGACACGTCGGGCTCCGCCAATGGCGCGCTCCGTGTGCCAGTGCAGTGGTCCCAGCGCGGACCAACGACAACAAATGATTCTTAACGTTTCGCGTATCCCCGTCAGCGGTGTAGTTCGTCTCTGACGGTGCTGTTTGTCTGACTCACACCGAGCGATCGACCTCTGCGTGTTTATGGTCGCGCCGCCGCGCCATTTTGGCTGCGCTTACTTGCTGGTCGCCACCTGGATGTACAACGCCACCGGGTTTGAGAGCATCGGTTCTGGATCTCCTTCTGAGTGGCTGCCCGTTCGTTCGCTTCGCGTGCCTTTCTTTTCCTGCTGCCCAGTCGCGGCCCGACTAGTGTTCGGACGGCTTTCGACCCGCCTCGCGAGCCTGTTGACCAAAAGTATCCCCGTCAGCTTCGCTATGGCGCGGCCCGCCCTAGCGTGCTCGGCGTTCGACTTGCTTAGCTCGCCCGCGTACCAAAAAATATCCCCGCCAGCCCATCCAGCAACGATGCCCATACGAATCGCATTTGTCGGGGAAGCGTGCGAGCAAGCAGCGGAAGAAGGAGGACGGGCAGCGTCCAACAGAAGATCGGGATTAGCCTGAGCAGGCCCAGGAGTCAACAATACCGTAAATGCCTTCGCGCATATTTCGATATGGGAGCCTGCTGGCAGCTTACTTGGGCCATATTCGGGCCATTGGGGAGGTTTTCGGGGCTCTCTCGAGGCCCTCTCGGGGCCTGCTTAAGGCTCTGTTGTCTTGGGGCCCTCTTGGTGGCCCTGGGGGTTTCATGGGCCGCTGCCTGCCTGGACTCGTCAGGACGCATGCGTTTTGCTGCTGTGCATACGGTGTGGGTGTTTTGTGGCGTTCTTGGGGCCATCTTGGAGGCCATCGATCAGCAGGGGGGTCGCATAATTGTGCCCCCCCCCCCGTCTGGGCCCGCGAATTAGCCTCCTGTGGCCCTTTTGGGCCGATCTCGGGGCGCTCTTGGACGCTCTTGGGGCCGTATTGGCCTCGTTGGGGGGCCGTCTTGGGCCATCTTGGAGCCATCCCGAGGCTTCAAGAGCCCATCGGAAACGAAAAGGCGAGAAGACAAGCAATATTGGGCAACACGCGGGTGTTGAGTGAGTTTGGTTTCCTGGGGGCCTCCTTGGGAGGCTCAGTGATCACTTCGAATCGTCCTGGGGCTGCCGTGAGGGTTCTTGGAGGCATGTTGGAGGCTATCTTGAGTCTTGGGTTACCTTGAGCATCTTGGAGATCATCGTTGGCTATATGGGACCATCATGGCGCCATCTTGCGCCTTTTTGGACGCCCTGGCCCGTCACGACCACCCCCCTCACCCTCCAGACTCAGGGGGAGGGGGAGGGGAGGGGAACCTCCTCCCCGAAGGGGAAGAGGGGGGTTAGCAGCACGAGCTCGCTGGACCACTCACACACAGAGGGCGTGTTGGAATCCGCGCGTAATTCCGCACGCAAGCGATTAGCATGATCATGTGTTTACCACTTATGTGCTTTGAGTGTTTCGTGTGCCGTTTGGTATACCTCTGTGCTTCGAGCGTTTCGAGTTGCGTTTGGTCACATCTCTTTTCCTGCCAACGCGTCCACCTGGACACAAGGCTTCTGTCTGTCTGTCTGTCTGTTGTCTCCTCCGAGCATGTGGGGGCCATGTGAGAGCGGGATCTGGTGCGATTCCATGGGAAGTATCATGCCAAGGTCCAGTCTGTCGGATGGGTTCGGATTCGTTCGGTGCTCTCTTCTGCGTCCACCTGCCGCATTTCCCCTATCCTCCCACAACCTCCCCCCCCCACCACCCACTGATCATACAGTTGCCGCTTCGCGCACCGCACCAGCCTCTCGGGAAGGGAGTGCCAGGCGAAGTGCGGCGGCACGTGACGCGGAGGATCGCCAGTGAATCGAAGAGGGGCACGTTCGTCGAGCCGCAGTGTGGATCAGACCTGGCAGCCCCCAACACTGTCCAACTCGGGACCCTTCACGGCTCATCAGGACCATCTCCGGGCTCCCTTCGGGGCCCGCGCACGGGGGCCAGCAGGGGCCTCCCCGGTGCTCCCTCGGGCCCCGTTGCAGGAGCCCGTCGGGCGCTCCTGCGGCCAGCGGCCCGGCTGCCAATGTCACCATGAACAGCACCAGGGGCATCCCCTGGGAGGCGCGGTGGGCACCTCAAGCCACCATGGGGCTTGAGGCTGCGTGCAGGAGACACGGTCGAGGCAATGCTGGGCCATTAAGCGATCTTGGGCGATCTGCGGGGCTACATGGAGCCATGTTGCACCGTATAGATTGGACCCTCGAACGCCGCGTGCCCCCCCCCTCCTGGCTTAGACCCCCGAGACATGGTTAGCGGGAGGGGTAGCCCGGTAACTTCTTCCCCAGAGGGGGTTGTGCTGTAAGATGTGATATTCTTAGATGGTTTGCACCTAGCCGGTTGGTGCGGTATCTTCCTCTTTCCTCCCTCCTCTTTACCCACCCCATTAGCCATCGCTCATCCAATTCCCCCCTCTCCTCCCCTCCTCCCCCTCCCCCCCCATCCTCCTCTCTCCTCCCCCCTCCTCTCTTCCTCTTTCATCCTCTCTTTTCCCTCCTCTCTACCCTCCTCGTTACCTTTTCTCACCCTCCTGTGCTGTCGCTTCGATTGGGGTCTCCTCAAATCTCGGACGCCGTCGCAAGGAAGGTCTCGTCCTCCGCAATATCCCCCCTCCCTGGTGACATCACCTTTGTTCCTCCCCACCCTTGCTTATCAACCGTGCTCCCTCTACTCCTAGATTGTCTCCCTTCTCCCCCCTTGTTCCTGAATCACTGTGGCTCAAAACAAATTGGTCCGAAACCGTATCCCGCAGCGAATTCATATGATCACTATAGATGTGTCGTCCTCCCCTTTCTGATGGTCCTGCGTCTGCTCCGTCCCTTCCCGACGTGTGGATGTTCGGCGTTTTCTGGTTCGATTGGTGCTATCTCAGATGCTGAATGTGCTTGCTGGAAAGGTATCCTCCGAATGTGCCCTCCCATAGTCATGGTGGCCCGAGCCATAGTCAGTTTCAGCATCACATCCCCATGGCACGCTTTGCATTAGTCCGTTGGTCATGGACGCAGTGGGTTCGCATCCGCGCCCACTTGCCGACGGCTACCATCTCGACCGGAGACGCTGGCTGATGCTTGCCTGCTTCGCGACGGTAAATTGTAACCAGAGCCTGGGGAGCATGACGTTCTCCTCGCTATCGCAATCGACTCTGCAGGAGTACTTTGGCCCTGCAATGGACAAGGCCATGTCTGACACACTGCTCAACTGGGGCCCATGGTTCGGGATGCTATTCTTCGTGCCAGCAACGTGGGTGAGCTCGCGGCCTGACGGGCTGAAGAAGGCGCTGAGTTGCGGAGCTGCCGCCGTGCTGCTGGGTCACGTCGTGCGGATGCTCCCAGTACTCGCCAGGGAGTTCAGCGGCAATGCTGGCGCGAGCCAGGCCATTTGGGCGTACGGCTGTTACCACGTCGGCCAGATCTTCATCGCTTCCGCGGGCCCGTTCAACATGGGCGCCGTGACGCTGCTCTCCGCCGCCTGGTTCGCGGAGCGCGAGCGCACCACAGCAACAGCCATCGCCCAGACATCCAACAGCCTGGGCGTCACGATCGCCTTCCTGAACCCCATATGGCTCTCGCGGTCCGCGTCGCAGATCCCGAACCTCTTCTACGCGGGCCTGGCGCTGTCTTTCGTGCCGTGCCTCGTGCTGTACCGTTTGCCGTCGCAGCCCCCCCGGCTGCCCTCGGCGGCGGCGGAGGCGGCCCTCGCAGGCGCTGGCTACTGCCAGGAGCTGCGGCAGATGCGGCAGCTTCGCACAAATCTTAAGTCGGGCATGTCTCTCTACAGGAGGAAGATTCAAAAATAGTCCAGAAAAATCATATGGGGACGATGTTTCGACTTTTGTTGTCAATTTCCTCAAATCCGCCTGTAGGGGGACATGCCCGACCTGACACACATCGTTCCCTCCTTCTGCTCATCGCCGCCGTGGGCGTGTTCTCTGGTGGCCTGGGTGGTTGGTCGAGCGTCTTTCAATCCATGTTGGGACCCGAGAGGTTTGGCGAAGGCACGGTGGGTTGGATGGGATTTGGCAATTGTTTGGCGGTGAACGTTGCAGGCATCACAGTTGGCAGCCTGATCGACGGGTACTTCTATCACAGACTAAAGGCAGGTATCCTTGCGGGCCTCTGCGGCTGTCTGCTGTGCCTTGTTCTTTTCACCCTCTCTCTTCCGAGCTTTGGCATGGAGGCACCAAGATCTCCACTGCCTCACAGCGACGGCTCCCTCGCGGTTATCGCAGCTTCTGTTGGCTTGTTTCGGGGAGGTGCCACACCTTTATTCTACGAGCTTGGTGCTGAGCTAATGCACCCAGCCAAGGAGAGCACCTCTGCTGGTCTCATCGTGTTTGTTGTAAACGTCAGTTTCGGTGTCATGGTGTTCTTGAACTCGCACCTCAGAGCAGAAGACATGAACTACATAATATCTGCTGTCATAGCTGGCATTTTGCTCATTGTCCTGATCGCTGTGCAGGAGCAGTACAAGCGTCCTCGTGATCATGAGAGGCAGCAGTTGATGTGCGATTGAGTCTAGGCAAAGGGCGCGCATCGTTGAAAGAGTTGCTGGAGACGCGGCCGAACATCTGTTTGACTGCTGCGCCCATGAGGCTTCACTTCGTCGTCGTCTCGGGTGGTGATGGTGGTGGTCGTCGCCTCGACGCGTTCGGGGCGTTTCTAGAGGTTGGACGGACGCAGCTCGCAAACTGACCAGGATGAACCTCGGGAGATTCCAGGGGCCGACATTTGAGCGAATTGCTTAGAGGATCGCCGTGAAGAGGAGGGGGCCCGCAGGACGGCGATTGGATCGAGACTGGCCTGCACATCTTCTTCGGCGCCTACCCCAACATGATGAATCTGTTCTCCGAGCTGGACATCGAGGCTGCGACTTCTCGCTTGGGGCGTGGGGGGGTGGAGGAGGAAGATTAAGAGGAGGAGAAGAAACAGGAATGACGAACTTGAGTCGGAATGAGTCGACGAGGAGAGTTCGATGAAAAAGAGATTGGTCGTTTCTTTCTCACCGCACCAGGTGTGTATTGTAGCATATCTGTGCCCCGGAGGCGTGAAATTCTCCTTCCAGATACTCAACGATACCACCGGATGCTGGCTGCCGACCATGGGGCGGCTTTGACGACGACGTGACAGTTGGAATGACTACGAGTTGTCAGGTGCAGCGCACGCGCTGGGCCAGCCAGGTGTAAAAGGCAGCAGTGCGTGCTGAGGAGTAATATGTCGAGTGTGGGGGGGGCGGCTGACTGGAGCATAGGAGAGGAGGAAGGGGAGGGGGGAGGGCAAGCTAGGTGCGCTCGCGTCATATCTGACGTCCTACCCCTCCCTCCCATCCCTTACCATGGCGCTGATTTTCTCTATCCGCGGACGCGTGTCGTAGCGGACCTGTGGCTCCGCGCGCGCGTGCGTAGTGGGTGGTGGTGCACGTGCGTGCGTGCGTGCGTGTGTGCGTGGTTGGTGGTGGTGGTGGTGGTGGTGGTGGTGGTGGTGGTGGTGGTGGTGGTGGTGGTGGTGGTGGTGGTGGTGGTGGTGGTGTGGTGGTGGTGCTGGTGCTGGTGGTGGTGGTGGTTGGTACTGGTGCTGGTGGTGGTGGTGGTGGTGGTGGTGGTGGTGGTGGTGGTGGTGGTGGTGGTGGTGGTGGTGGCGGTGCGGCGCGGTGGTGGCGGGCGGATGGGCGCGCGAGAAAAAGGCCCGCGCTGGGGCGAGAACGCCATCCTGAACGACGGAGGCCAAACACCGATCCGAAAATGAGGCCCACGCTGCAGCGGGAGCACGATTCGGAACGATTCGGGAGCAGAAATGAGGCCGGCGCCTCAACGAGAGCAGCATTTTGGGAAAAAATGACGCCGGCGCCTCAGCGAGAGTCGTTTCCCGGGATTTCCCGGGAATCCTGTGTGTAAAAAAAACAGTACGCGGAGGGTGCGCGGCCATCACCCGGACGCCATCAGGGGAAGAGGGAGAGTATTTCCATATTGAGTAATTGTGGAATGGGTGGGGTACCAGGAGAGATGCAGAGGCGGAAGAGGAAGAGGCAGGAAGAGGCAGAAGTTGCTGAGAAGGGGGGGGGAGGAGGAGGTGGATAAGGAGGGGGGGAGGAGGCGGAGGTACGGTCGACCAGGAGGGGACACCTGCATCTAACCTCATACCCCTCTTCAATCCTCCTCCTCCTCCTCCATCTCCTCCTCATCCTTCTCCTCCTCCTTCTCCTCCTCTTCCTCCCCCACGTCCTGCTCATCCCTCCTCCTCCTCCTGCTCCTCCTTCTCCTCCTCCTCCTCCTCCCTCCTCCCCCTCCTCCTCCTGCTCCTCCTCCTGCCCTGCTGATATCTTGCCCCTGGGATTGCGCAATCCAGCCAACGTGGCACAGATGGCCCTGGAGCGGGCCCGAGGACAGGGGGGGCGATGGAGAACGAGGAGGAGGACGAGGAGGAGGAGGAGGAGGAGGAGGAGGAGGGGAAGGACGAGGAGCAGGGGGAGGAGAAGAAGGAGGAGGAGGAGGAGGAGGAGCATGCGAGGTAGGAGGCGGAGGCAAAGGACAAAAGAGGAGGAGGAGCGGGAGGCAGAGGAGGAGGACAGGGAGGAGGAGGAGGAGGAGAGGAGGAGAGAGGAGGAGGAGGAGGAGGAGGAGGAGGAGGAGGAGGGGAGGAGGAGCTAGCAGCAGCAGGCAGCGCAGCCGCTGCAGCAGCAGCAGTTGGGGGAGGAGAGGAGGGGAGGAGAGGCAGGAGGAGGAGGAGGTGGGGGAGGAGGAGGAGGAGGAGGAGGAGGAGGAGGAGGAGGAGGAGGAGGAGGAGGAGGAGGAGGAGGAGGAGGAGGAGGAGGAGGAGGAGGCGGAGGAGAGGTGGAGGGGAGGAGGGGAGGAGGCGGAAGGAGGAGGAGGAGAGGAGGAGGCGAGGCAAAGCCAGCAGCAAGCAGCAGCAGCAGTTGGGGGTGGAGGAGGAAGGAGGAGGAGGAGGAGGAGGAGGAAGAGGAGGAGGAGGAGGAGGAGGAGGAGAAGGAGAAGGACGAGGAGCAGGGGGAGGAGAAGAAGGAGGAGGAGGAGGAGGAAGGGGAGGAGGAGGCGGAGAAGGAGGAGGAGGAGGAGGAGGAGAAGGAGGAGGAGGAGGAGGATGGGGAGGGGGAGGGGGAGGGAGAGGAGGAGGAGGAGGAGGAGGAGGAGGAGGAGGAGGAGGAGGAGGAGGAGGAGGAGGGAGGAGGAGCATCAGCGTGTGAGGATCAGGAAGGAGGCGAAAGTGGATGAGGAGGAGGAGGAGGAGGAGGGGAGGAGTTGGAGGAGGAGGAGGAGGAGGAGGAGGAGGAGGAGGAGGAGGAGGAGGAGGAAGGAGGAGGAGGGGGAAAAGAAGGAGGAGGAGGAGGGAAGGAGGGAGGAGGAGGCGGAGGAGGAGGAAGCGGAGGGGAGGAGGAGGAGGAGAGGAGGAGGACCGCTCCGGTGACCAGTGGTCAGTTTCAAAAACAGTGGCCTCCCGTTGTGGGAGGGAGGAGGAGGAGGAGGAGGAGGAGGAGGAGGAGGAGGAGGAGGAGGAGGAGGAGGAGGAGGAGGAGGAGGAGGAGGAGGAGGAGGAGCACGTGGAGGAGCACGAGGAGAAGGAGGAGGGAGGAGTTCCCACGGGGCCGCCAGGCCTGGGTCTGGCTTGGTTGATATGCCCAGTATGAACTGGAGTGCGGGGTGAGGCTGGCGGGGAAGGCGTGGACGAGGGTGGGTTTGGAATGGCGGAGGGTGGGCCCCAGGTGTTCGATCCAGGCCAAACGCCCTGGCCCTGAACCATGACGCCATGACGCCCGGCCGGCCCCTTGACCGTGACGCCGCGACGCCCAGCGGGCCCCTGGACCGTGACGCCGTGACGCCCATCCCGCTCGTGGAGTCGTCACTATGCACATTGTGACACGATGCGTGGCCGAAGTGCTCCTCCTTAGCACTGGGAAAGACCGGCTTGCCGGCCCACACGCTATCGTTTCGGGTCTGGTGGGATCCTCCATCATTTCGCCAGAGTGATTCTCGAGGTATGTTCCGAGGAGGGATTCCCCGAACGTGCCATTGGCGCCGTGCGTCGGGGCCTAGCGGGGCTTTTGGTTTGGACTCGGCTGGCCCCCCTGATATACGGCCTTCTAAGGGGGTGGAGGGGGATCAATTTGGGCAGCGATGGGATCAAAAACAAGGGCATCCTAGTCCATCCCTTCCTCTCTTTCCTCTGCTGCCCCTCGGTCCTTCCCCCCTTCCCACCTTCGCACTTTGTTCATAGGGCGATCCGGGGTCCGGAGTTTACAGAGGTTTCGGGGTTCCTGGCCGCCTGGACTTCAGATTCCTGGTTCCTGGCCGCCTGGGCTGCAGATTCCTGTGCCTCTCGGGGTTCTTGATCGCATGAATTTGCAGGAGGATGAGGAATGAGGAGGAGCAGGAGGAGGAGGAGGAGAAGGAGGACCATGAGGAGCAGGATCAGGCGGAGGAATAGAAGGAGGAGGAGCTGATGGAGAACGAGGGAGAAGGAGTGGAATGAGGAGGAGGGGGAGGAGGTGGGGGGAGGGAAGAGGAAGAGGGGCAAGTGGATGAGGAGGAGGATGAGGGGGAGAAGGAAGTGGAAAAGGAGAATAAGGAATAGGTGGGGATGGATGGGTGAGGAGGAGGAGGAGGAGGAGGAGGAGGAGGAGGAGGAGGAGGAGGGGGAGAAGGAGGAGGAGGAGGAGGGAGAAATGGTGGAGGATGTGGGGATAGGGGGGAGGAGAATAGGAGGCGCGTGGGATGCACAGTGTTACGGATTTTCATTATGCATGAACGCATGAATTTATATATATATATATACACATACACATATTTGTATACGTGTATGTTGCATAGTACATGCGCACATCGATTGGCATGATTACTACTGTCGACTTATATGATTGCACAAATCACACATCCAATGAGGGAGGCTCCATCGAGCTGTCCCTTGGATTGGCCCTGGCCTCCATGGAGAGCTCCGAGATGGCCCGAGTGGACGCCGACATATTGCCAAGACGGCCCAAGAGATCCCCATGAGGCCCTGTTGTACGTTCCCAGATGCCCCCTCCCCCGCAGTGAAGCCCCTGGAGGTCCCAGGAGGCTCTTCCAACGGAGATTCTGGTACCCCCGCCTGGTCGACCCGACGAGGAGGAGAGGGAGGAGGACGCCGAGGAGGAGGAGGAGGAGGAGGAGGAGGAGGAGGAGGAGGAGGAGGAGGAGGAGGAGGAGGAGGAGGAGGAGGAGGAGGAGGAGGAGAGGGAGGAGGACGCCGAGGAGGAGGAGGAGGAGGAGGAGGAGGAGGACGACGACGAGACAGCGGTCGATGAGCGGCGGGCAGCGGGAGGAGGGCGCTTCGGTGCGGCCCCCACATCCGGGGGAGGGTCCGCGCCCGGGCAGCGAAGGTTCCCCCGGCCTGCTCCGATCGGGGCGGGGTGCCCAGGCCGGGACGGGCCGTGCCAGGGCATGCCCTCACCACGAGGCCCACGGTCTCCAGGCCTCCTCGACGGGGTCCGAGCAGACGGGGTTGGAGGACCGCGCCGCATCGTCGACGCATCGGCATCGGCGATGTGTCTCGATGTGGAGCCCGATTTTCTCTACGCTAGCGTCGCCGATGCATCGCCGATGCATAGCAGATGCATCGGCGCCGATGCGGCGCGATCCTCCACCCCCCAGGCCTCGATGGGCAGCAAGTCGGGGGGAGGAGAAGCGATACCAACACCACCAGGGGGCCCACCGCCAGCGAGGAGGTCACGATGCCTCTCCGAGCTGGAGGCTGGGGATGTCTCGAGCGAGAGGGGGGGGGACCACACCACCAGGGAGTTCCCCTTGCCCCCTCTCATCTCCTCGCCCTGCTGGTATTGGTGTCGCCTTTCCTTGTTCCTAGCAAGCCACTCGGGCCAGAGAAGCCGGCCGGTGCAGAAGGGAAGACCGGGGCCTCACGGGGCCGCGGCCTTCGGCAGCATGCGGGGGCCGAGGCGGCGGCGGGCGGCGGCGGGCGGCACACCGCGAGGTCACACGGGCGGGGCAGGCCATGGGGACTCTGCGGTCGGGTAACGTTTTGGGGTGGCGTGGCGCTCCGCCAGGTCTGGCCTGCCGCGCCTCGGGGCGACACGCCTTCCACGTCCGCGTCCCCCAGCATCAACGTCTCAGGAGCGAAAGAAGGACGTGCCGTACATGTACATGAATCCGCGCTGGTTTCGAGAGTACGCATTGCGCAAATGTTCGTATAACGCGGCCGGTCTCGCGGATCGAGGGGCCGTGTTCATGTACATAGCTGGGCGCGTACGTCCTTTGTGGGCTCCCTAACGTCCCGAGCCGTGCCCACCCTCCCACCCCGCGGAGCGGAGCGACACCGTATATCCGCTCGCAGGGCATAATGTGTGTCGCCGAGGCCGCCGCTGCGACACGTCATCCGAGAGTTCCGGACCGCAGACGGGGTCGGAGTGTAGACGGGGTCGGAGGATCCAGCCGCATCGGCGATGGGGCTCGACGTGGAGCCCGTCTTTCTCAATGCCGGCGTCGCCGATGCACCGTCGATGCATCGGCTGTGCGGTGCGATCTGCCGACCCCATCTGCTCCGACCCCATCTGGGAGGCCTGTAGAGTGGGGTTTGCTTGCGCCAGGGTATGGTTTGCGATCGGCACCGTTGCGGCTTATACAGTCGGACCGAGGTATCAGGTCGAGGTCGGTTCGGGGAGGGTGCCCTAGTGTTCTTCGTGTGTGTGTGTGTGTGTGTGTTGGATGCTCTCGTACGTCCTGGGGAGGGTACTCTTGGATGTTCTGTGTGATTTGGCCCACGGAGGGTCTCGTGTTCTTGAGGGATGTTATTCTGGCCTGGGTCCCGACTGTATTAGGGGATCACCCCCTTGCGCCAGAGATTTGAAGAGCCCTCCTCGGGGCACGGCCGAGATCTCTGCCGCGAGGTCCTCGCCCGCCGCCCCCAGGCACGGGCTGCAAGCCACACCCTTGGCAGGCCACACCCCTCGCAGTCGCGGGCGGAGGGCCCGAGAGGCCCCCAAAATGGCGCGAGACGCTGGGGACACCCTGGGCCAGGCTTGTTTTTTCATGGAAGCCTTGAGTTTCACTGGGGGTGTGTTGGTTTGAGTTTAGCGCCCGTTGCCGGCGAATTTGGGGTGACTGGTGTACGGTTAGCGCGAGGCGTGTGCCACTGTTTGCCGTTAGTCGATGCCGCCGCTATTTGCCGCTATTTTCCGCTAATCCGCTAACATCTGCTACCGGAACCTGCGCCAGGACCATTCCCAGCAACGTTCGACCGTTCCCGTCTGCCCCATCCTCTCCCTCTCCCCATCCTGGTCCCCTTCCCCTTCGCAGCGGGCTCCCCGCCAGGAGCGCCTGCAGTGGAAGCGTCACCAGATGATCTTCGCCATGCAGGCTCTGACTGCGTCTCCCGTGCACTCGTGGCGTCGAGATCGGACAAGGCGGGAGTCGAAGAAAGCACGCTACACTAACATAGCCATTCGGATGCCCGTGCGGGCGTCTTGGGTCGGCGTTTGGCCCCCTTGCCTCGGCGCGCGAAGCGCCAGGGGTGGCGCCCGAGGCGCCCTTAGGGGGGCACTGCGCCGGTCCAAGAAATCCTCACAGGAGTCCGGAATGTTATGTTTACGTTGGCTTTGTGTTCTTCCGACGACAGGAAGGAGGTTCTGGAGGAGGAAATCTGTGATAAGGAGGGTTTGGGGGGAGGAAGTGTGGCGGTGGGGTGGAGGAGGGGGAGGATGAGGGCAGTACCGCGAGGAAGAGAGTCTGCCCTCTTGGTTCGGAAGAGGCTCAGTGTTCAGTAGGTCGTTTCTTCAGAGCTCCAGTCGACAAGCACACCTCAACTTCTCTGAGCAAAGGTGGCGTTCTTCATTGTTGAAGCTTCCGGATAGCAAGTCGTTCTAGGTATTAAGGGCCCAACGCCTCTGAACACATCGATCCTGGACTCCCGAGCTTCCTCCCTCTCCCTTCCTCCCTTCGCTGCCTCCTTCCCCCCTCCCTTCCTCCTCATGCCTCCCTCCCTCCCTCCGCCATGTGGTCGACACTGAACCCCCTCCCTTTCTCCTCCTCCCCCTCATCGCCCCTTCCTCCTCCACCTCGTTCCTTCCTCATCCTCCTCTCCTGTCCTCCGCATCCTCTTCCTCATCCTGGCAGTTTGGCGCGGTCGACGTTATTTCGGCCTCCGTCGCTTGTGTGTCGGCTTTCTTCCGAGCAGCTTGCCGCACTATCGATTGGAAATCGCCTCTGGACCTCCCGCGTGAAGCATATTACGACGCTGCTCTCAAGCGCGGCATTGGCGACTTAGCAAGTGAAGCGCCCTGGGCAGAGCATTGGAAACCTCCGGCCATAGCGTGGACCCTCGGGCGCGCTGCCACCAAGCAGGCGATCAGCACCACCGAGCAACTCCAAGAGGCAATGAACGCTGGCGTCAGTACCGTCCAGTCGTCCGTGGTATTTGAGCCGTCGGGCTCCGTCGGGCGCTGCCAGGCCCGTGGTCCTCCTCGGGGGCATTCCTCCGGCTTGCAGCGCACCGCCTACCGCGCAGTCGGGAGGGAGATGTTCAAATCCACCCCAGGCGACGCACTCCGGGCCCGCCTGCGTCTCCATTGGCCCGACGCTCACGGCGACATCAACAGCTTGAATGTCACGAATCTTGAGACATCATGAAGAAGAGCCACGTCTGGATCGCCAGCTCCTGCTTCAAGACTTGGATGGGAGGATGGACGACGTCTGCGCGCCTCGACGAGGGTATCGTTCACCCGTGCCTCGTCGGCTGAGTGGACACACTATGCCGATTGCCGCATGCGTTGGTCCACTGTGTGTTAGCCTTGTTGGGAAGCACCCGCCGCGAAGGGGTTTGGACACGCTCGCCATGAATGCGAAGACACCTGTGGAATCAAAGACAACTTTCATCGCATACGAGACGCACCACAAGATGAAACACTCGAACCTCAGCGACGCACTCGGGCTTCTACAGTTACGATAATATGGTGAATTCCTTTGTCTTATTGATCGCCTCGCGCGCGCGCGGCAGCGCGCCTCTGTCGCTAGAGTGTGACGTCGCGCCGCAATGCTACGTCCTCCTCCGCCTCCTCCTCATCCTCGGTCCTCCTCTTCTCTCACGCAGACTTCCCCACACAGCCGCACTGCGCTCGGGCGCTCGAGGTCCCCGGCAAGCCAGCCGCGTCGTCGCTTTACCTCGGGCCCGGCACCAGGCCCATTCCCAGCGCGTCTGCGTGTCCCCGTCATGCCCCAGCTGGCTAATGATGTAGTCCATCTCCGCGTCGATCTGCTCGAGGATGGGGTGGTACATAGCGTGCGTATCCTCGATAGCCTTTCAGGCCGCGGCATCCCTGGACTCCTGCTCGGAGCCCCCAGTCTCGCTGTCGTCGCCAACGACATCGGGCTCGTGCTTCGCGCCGCCACCCTGAGAGCAAATGGCGTCGGGCTTGAGCTTCTTGCCACCTCCCGCGTAGGTGATTGTGTCTGGCTCGTGTTTCGCAACACCACCCTCGTAGTTGACGGCGTCGGGCTCGTGTTTCGTGTCCCTTCCCTCGTAGCTGACGGCGTCGGTTGGGCTGGTGCTTCGCGCCACCCCCCTCGTCGCTGGTGGCGTTTGGCTCGTGCTTCGCAACGCCATCCTTGTAGCTGATGGCCTCAGGTACATGCTGAACTGTGCCACTCTCGTAGCTGATGGTATCGTGCTCTTATTTCTATGTACTGGCTTTGTGGATCACGTTTGTGGGTGGTGGCGTCTGGTACGCTTCCTCTTCTCTTCTGCTCCTCGTGATGTCTACGTAGCCTAGATGATCGAGTTCATCTCCATGGCGGGCGTTTACAAGCCTGCAAGGACATTGTAATCGGTATGGACACGGCATTCGCGTCCCAGGCTGTAGTTGATGGCATAGTGTATCCAGCCTCTGCCGCCACTACGCCACCTGCCGGCCCTGCTCGCACCACTGTTTGCCCTTCTAGCACTATTTCCAGCCCTCTTCGCACCACGGCCGCCCGTCCTCGCACCACTGTCGACCCCTCTCGCCCCACTGCCGGCCCCTCTCACAGCATTGCCAGCCCTGCTTGCACCTTTACCCACCCTTCTCGCACCACTGCAGGCCCTTCACGCACCACTGCCCGCCCTTTTCGCACCACTATCGGCCCATCTTGCACCACCGGTGAGCCTTCACGCACGATGGGACTGGCTCCAACACTGCAGCTGATGGTATCTGGCTCGCGCTTCGTTGTGCCGGCCTCGTAGCTGATGTCGTCGGGCTCGTGCATCGCGTGGCCCTTCCCGTAGCTTACGACGTTGGCCTCTTGGTTCGGCCCACCTGCTCCGTAGCTGTCGCCGTCGGGTTCGTGCACTCCCGTCAGGTGCTGCTGCGCCACTGCGTGCTTCTCAGCTGTATGCGGTAGGGTGTCCCCCCCTGCACGTGACAAAGCTAACAAGGGTTACTGCGCTTTCGTCTCTGGGTTTGCTAAAACCTCCTCGGAGCCATCCTTCTTCTGCTGCTTGACGCCTCGCTCCTGCTGCCACGATCCACAATACTGCCTCTGTGGCCACTGCTATTTCCACTGCGGCAATAATTCTTAAAGTCTCAACGATTCGTTCTGATCCCACCCTCGCTTTCTCATTCGCCCAGCTGCGATCTCGGATGGGTGACGGTGTCTCCAATCTCTTTGATGAGAATGCGTTGTTGATGTAGCTTGTCGATTGCAACACCAGTGCCCATTCCAGAGGCCTCCCTCGCTCCCTCCCCATCCGCAAACCCTCGTATACGAGGGGAACGCAGTGCTTCAGGTACCAATCAAGATAGTTTTAGAAGATGCCGACACATTCGGGCTCCATTGTCGGGGGTATGTTTCAGTCATTTTACATGTGGAAAGTAGTTGCCGCCGTCCAGGTCTCACGTTGGGCCAGGGCCCATGATCTTATCACTAACTACTGCGGCTGGAGACCCCCGTGGTACCGACCAGCGAGGTTCTGCTGCTCTCTCTTGCCTAGGGCCGACGATCTTTGCAAGCATTGCAAATCTATATGTGGTATGTACTCGTTCTCTGGAGTGGAACATCAGATTCTCCGAGGCCGAGACGGCCTCAATGTACGTTGGAATGCTCGCGCTTCCGCCTACCCCAAAGTGTTGTGCAACATAATGGATGATGGATTCATCGACGCTGCATTTGACCGCATCTTCAGGCAGGCTCTCGACATGTTCCCATTCCGCCCCTCTCACCCCGAGGCAGACTAGCTGCAGAGAACCGTTAGCGATCTTTAGTGCCTCGAATTGTGGAGCAGTTGTAAGAAGCCAACAGTGTCTCACGCGCCAGGCGTTTTCGGTTGAGTTCAAGATTCGGGTCCCACCACATGCGGATGACAGGCATCACAGCTCCGGTTGTTGAAAACGACGGGTTGGGGAACCTCCTCTTCCTCTTCCTCCCTTCCCTCCTTCTCCTCCTCCGCCTCCTCCTCCTCCGCCTCCTCCTCCCCCTCCCGTCTCCCTCCCCCTCCCCCATCCCGCAGCCGCCCCGGCCCCCGCCGCAGGCCCCGCATCGCGCCCTCTCGTCGCGAAGACCCCCCCCCATCCCGGCACGACGGGGGGAGCGGCACCGGCGCGCCATGGCGCGCGGGGCGGCGCGCCGGAGGGTGGCGAGGGCGGCGGGCCCGGGCGCAGCTCGGGTGGGCGGTGAGCCTCCGGGGGGGCTCGCTCCTCTCGGAGGAGGAGCAGGGTGCCCGTGCCGCGACCCTTCCCTCGTAGTCTTTCTCGTTGGCCTCCCCGAGAGGTTGTTCCCGTACGCGAGCAGGGGAGCGAACAGCAGCGGAACATGCGATATCACGGGCTCACACTTAACACCTAAACCTACACGACCCTCAGAATTACCCCAGGCGGAATCCCTGGCAGGGCTATGGGTGCGTGTGTGTGTTTATGTGTGTGTGTGTGGATGTGTGTGTGTGTGTGTTTGTGTGTGTGTGTGTTTGTGTGTGTGTGTTTGTGTGTGTGTGTTGTCGGACGGGGGTCCTCGCTCGAACGGGAACCCCTCTCTGGATCTGACCTTTGTCGGACGGGGGTCCTCGCTCGAACGGGAACCCCTCTCTGGATCTGACCTCTCGCCTCCATACCTGCAGCGGCTTCATCGTTTTGCACTTCCCCACTTGAGTGTGGGCTGTTTTCTGATCGCGATCGGGCCAGAGTCCATAAACGGCTTGCGCCAAGCAACAGAGGCCTCATCGCCTTGCCCTTTCCCACTTCTCCTCCCAGTGTGTCTGAGTGTGGGCCGTTCACTGAACACGAGGATACACAGAGTGGGTAGGCGTGTGGGTTTCTAATGTGTATGTTTCCTCTCGTACAGGTTTGAGCGTGGGCTTTCCTTTTTTTAGGTTTGAGCGTGGGTCTTCCACCCCA